ATGATATCATTTATATACATTAGTGTTTATCTCACATCTTTCGATCAATCATTATTGCAAATGCATATCATAAGGACTTCTATCTAATTCTACTGAATTTATCAATATGTAAACATAAGAATTGACATAATGATTTTTTTTATTATTATCAAAATAAATAATGCAATGATATATTAACTCAAGCCCATCCATACGTGGTTAGATCTTGGGCACCTACACTAACACATCATTGTACAATTATGGTAAAAAATATGCTCCCTTCAATAAGGCTTTGGTACACTTGTTTTCCTAGATGTCTAGCTCACATATAGTCATGACATTCCTTCGTTAAATCTTGTCAAAGGTTTTCCCACTTAAGCACATAAATTCTTCGCTCTTTCGTCTAGAGATTGCCATCCTCCCAAAATTTTTGAGTTTTTCCCTCCCTTGCAAGTGGCTAATAAATTCTTGACGGTGGGATCATGCTTTATTCCTTACTTTATTCGGCTTGATCTCCTTATCCACCTTCATCATATGATACAACTCAACCTTTCAACTAGGTGCATTAGCCATTACATTGGTCGTACTTGGCTTGTACTAAAAGATATAGTTAAATTCGATAAGAAAGTCTTGCCATCGAGCTTGCTTCGGTGTCAACGTTTTTTGATTTTAAAAGTAACTCGTGGCTACGTCGTTTGTCTTCGAGCACAAATCGAGACCCTAACAAGTAGTGTCTCTAAGTATGCAAGTAATGTACCACTCGATCATCTTCTTCTATTGCATCGAATATCGACGTTTGGTGTCATTTAGTTTTCTACTTTTGTATGCTATAGGATGTTGTTCTTGCATCAATACACCACCTATGGCAAAATCGAAGCATCAATATGTACCTCATATAGCTTGGTTGGGTCGGTCAAACTCAACACTAGCTCTTCGATTATAACTTGTTTTAGTTCCTTGAAAGCTTCTTGGTATCGTTCACTACAATATCATCTTTTGTTTTTCTTTAGCAAGTTAGTGAGAGGGGTCGCCTTCTTCGAGTAGTCATGAATGAAGTGACGATAGTAATTGACTAGTTTAAGGAAAGAACGAAGCTTAAGTATCTTGGTTGGCTTTTCCTATTTCGAGATAGCTTTGACTTTAGCCTCATCAATCATTAACCTTTCTTCCTTAATCTTGTTCTTAGGAAGAGTATTTCCTCTTTTATAAATGAGCAATTTTTTCTTTTGACATACGACTCATTCTCCCTTAGTATCTTGAATACAATATGTAGGTAGTCTAGATGTTCTTCCTATATAGAGCTATAGATCACAATGTCAACAAGATATACCACTACAAATCGATCCAAGTACGATTGAAATACCTTATTCATTAAGGTGTAAAAGGTAAATGGGGCGTTAGTTAAGCCAAATGGAATAACAAGGAATTTATAGGAATCATACCTTATTATACAAGTCGTTTTCAATACATCTTTAGCGATAATTCATACTTGATAATACCTCGATCTCAAATCAAGCTTGATGTAGAATTCGGCTTTTTCTAACGAATCAAACAAATCAACTATCAATAAAATTGGATACTTGTTTTTCATCATGACCTTGCTCGATGCTCAATAGTTCATGAATATTCTTAACAACCCATCGTGCTTCTTTTGGAACAATATAGAGCGTTGTATTTGTCAAGCCTCTAACATAACCTTCAATTGCTTTCTCAATTCCTACAACTTATGAGGAGCCATACGATAAGGTGTCATAGCTGGTCGCTTAGCACCGACATTAACTCTATTTGATGATCAATTTCTCTTATGGTCGGTAACTTCTGGGTAACTCTTGTGACATCACGTTATCAAATTCACCCAACACATTGGCAATCTCTTTAGGTATCTTTTCACCCTCATTATCCACCAACCTATCTTCTCTCAATGTCACTAAATACATGACTTCCCTTTTATTAAAGCTCTTCTTTACTTGGTATAGTCAAGAGATGCTTCAAGTCTAATCTAGCATGCACCTTAATTGGGTCCATGCATAGTGTTTCTTTCTTTATAATCATTATTTGCTCCAAGTGAAATATAGGCATGACTTTTGCTTGTTTGAAGAACTTCATGCTTAGTATAACCTTGAAGTCATCCATCGTGACAATCGTGAAATCCAAGCATCCCCTTCCATACGTCTATGCCAAGGCTTACTCTATGTGCTACGCCATAAGTAGGCTTAGGAGAAACATTCATCATCTTTATGCTATTTGATGATTTGCTCACTATCAAACCGAGTCTTTTGGCCTCATCCTCAACCATAAAATTATGGGTGACACTCGTATCTATCATGGTAAGTTCGGCCTTACCATTCATGTCCATATCTACGTACATAAGCCCATCCTTAGATAGCACCTTAGGCGAGGGCTTGACATTCAAGGCATTAAGAAGCCATAACGATCCCATATGTTTCTCATGCTTTAGAGCATATTCCTTCTCCTCCATCAAGACATTGAGGGCTTATTGTTTCGAGCACTCTTTCCATTGATGTGGCATGTTGTAAAAATAGCAACCCTTGGGCTGGAATTCTCTCTTGTCATTCTTTTTGACAAAGCCCTTAGACTTGTTTACTTTGTCTTACCCATCTTTATATCCCTTCTTCTCATAAACTCCATCGTCTTTTCCTTTGAACTCTTTCTTACGCTTATAGGGTTCTACTTTTTTTTTTTTAATACTTAATTAGGGATTCAACTAAGGCCATAACTTTGATGAAGGCCTTAAGCCATCGACCTCGTACCTCTTATTGTGCCCATGTTGAAGTCCCTTGATAAAATCATACATCTAATCATATTCGGGTTTATCACGTACACGAAGTTTAAGAGAAACATATTTTTGTACATATTCATGAATAGTTTATGTATGCTTCAATATTCATAGCTTATCTCGTGCTTCTCAATCTGCTTACTTAGGATAGAATTAAGCATACACAATTTCTTTGAATTTGTCCCAACTAGGTTGCTTTCAATTTCCTTTTTTAAGCTCTTGGTGGTTCGTACACCACCATAAAGCAGACATCCTCCGGAAGGTAGAAAGTAGCGATCTTGACATGAATTCTATCCTCGCTCAAGTCCATTACCTCGAAATGTTACTTCACTTACCAAAAGAAGTTGTCGACTTCCTTGACATCCTGCTTGCCAACATAGTGCCTTGGTCTTGGCACTTCAACTTTTGGCATGTTCCTCGAGACCACACCATTAAAGATGGTTTCCCGATAATTTACTCAATCTCTTCTAAGTTGTTCAAGTGTTTGCTCATACCTAGTCATATATTTTTTTATGTTGCTTAAATATTTTCTTTGTCCATTCCACGAAGGCATGGTTTTTGATAGCGTTCTCTTTGGCACACCTCTCAACTGTTTTCACTCGAGCTTGGAAATCGAAGAGCACCTCATGTAGATCGACCATGTTAATGGCTCCCCCTCATCATCTCCCTCTATCTCCTCCAGGTCTCTTTTTGAACCTTTTCAAGAGTTGCTTCTCTAAGGCAACCAACCCATCACCGGACTTCCTTCTTCCCTTCTTAGGTAGAGCAGGTAGAGTCTCATTCCTAGTATCTCCAGCAACATCCTCAACACTGTAGAGCTAAACATGCTTACTCTTTTGAATACTTAGCTAGCCGTAAGCTTACTCACACTTGATAGAACTCTTCTCCGATACCACTTATCACGAATTTGGCCTTTCCCAAGCTCTCGTGCGATAATTAGCTCACTTCTTCTATAAGTCAAACTAAGTCGGCCTTCACCACACAAAGTTGTTAAACAAGAAAGATACACACAAGAGATATAAAAACTCTTTGTATTGCTTTCTCTAAAGCTTACAACTCTAAGATCACACTTTCTTAGATTTTTGGATGTTTTGACCAAATAAAGGCCTCGCCTATTTATAGTCCTTCACTTTTTCAATGGATGGCTATGATCTATTTGATCCAATAGTTACAATTGATTCTCTAGAAATATCTTATCTAGATATTTATAAGGAACTATCTAGATATGTATAAGTTAGAACAATAAGGGACTCTCTAGAATTCTCTAGGACATGTCTAGATTTCTTTTGGACATCTTAAAGACTTTTTCATTGCCCCATAATCTTCAGAGGCTTTTAGACTTATCCAAGCATTCTTAATAACCTCCAGAAAAATCCATCTTTTGAGCGAGACATAATAATATGCCCCCTATTGCTTTAGTAGATGCCAATTGTTTATGGTTGTATTCTTTTTGTTTTATTAGCCTTTGCAATAACAATTAATACATCCGGAACAAAAATAAACATAATCTAACATCTTATTCGACTTCATGCATATCTTTCTGTCCCATTTCTTTTTAATGTAAATCTTTCTTTTACTTGCATATAACATGGTGAGTAAATTAAGAATTAATATCTCTATTTTTTTAGAAACAAATTAATTAATTTTTTATTTTAAAAATTAATTATTTAATTTATTAATTAATATTGATAATGTATAATTTATTTTATTTATAATAGTATCATATTTTCTCATCAATATTTTCATAATATTTTCTTATTTTTTATTTTTTTAAAAAAATTATAATAAAATTAAAAGAACAAAATAGATTAAGTTACAATAAGATTTAAAAATATAAAAGTTAAATAAATTAATTTGTTTCTTAAATCTAAAAGACTGATTTATAATTTACTCAACATCGTTGAAGTAAAAGCAAAAAAAAAAAAAAATCTAGCTAGCTACCGTAGCTTTGGCAGAATGCAATTGCCACTTGGATGCTGGCTAAGATATTCAACGCTGGAGTGGTGGCCCCAGCGCCTGCCATCTTGTAATAATTCTAGTTCAAGCAAGTTGACTGTATAAAAACATAAGCCGCTAGCAGAACAGGGAAACTTGCATGTCCGCCATCTAATATTTTTGTCTATAAATTATAAAATCTCGGCATATAATTTAAAAATCCATAAGAGATCCAGTACTCTGCTACCTAAAGGAAAAAAAAAAAAAAAGAAAAAGGAAAGAGAAAGAAATGGGCACTGGCAGCACTGCTGAAGTTTCTGTTCAAGAAACTAGATCTGACAGAAAAAGTGAATTAAAAGCTTTCGATGATACAAAAGCTGGTGTCAAAGGACTCGTTGATGCTGGGGTTTCAAAGGTCCCTCAAATCTTCATCAATCCGTCTGAAATTTTGGAGAATAGGACTCTAAGTGCCAGCAAGAAGCCAGTTACTGTCCCTGTCATAGACCTTGAAGCTATTGATAAAGATCCAATAAGGCGAAAAGAGATTGTTGACAAAGTTCGTAAAGCGTCGGAGACATGGGGTTTCTTTCAGTTAGTCAATCATGGAATCCCTGTGAGTGTTCTGGAGGAGATGGATGCCGGTGTACGCAGATTTTTTGAGCAAGATATTGAAGTGAAAAGAACTTTTTATACTCGAGATGTCACCAAAAGGTTTTGTATAACAGCAACTTTGGTTTGCATACAGCACAAGTGGCTAATTGGAGGGATACATTTTTCTCCTACATGGCTCCTCATCCTCCCAAGCCTGAAGAATTGCCTGGAGCTTGCAGGTATATTAGTAATAGAACCAGAATCATACTTGGCAGACTCAATTAACAATCATAGGACAGTTACCAAGTCTAAGTAGAAAAAAATAAACAAAGAAAGAAAATAGAAATATTGTAATGCCTAGAGTTTATTTTGGTTGTAACATCATTGTAATGCATCTCACAAATTTCAGAGATATAATGATGGAATTCTCGAAGCAAGTTACAAGTCTAGGAATTCTTTTGTTCGGGTTGTTGTCGGAGGCTCTTGGGCTAAAAACAGACCACCTGGAAAAGATGGACTGTGCTGAGGGGCTGGCTCTTATAAGTCATTACTATCCAGCATGTCCTGAGCCAGAGTTAACCCTAGGCACAAGCAAGCATTCGGATATTGACTTCCTCACAGTGCTTCTGCAAGATCAGATTGGAGGCCTCCAAGTGCTTCATCAGGATCAGTGGGTTGATATTTCCCCTGTGCCAGGAGCCCTAATAATCAATATTGGAGATCTTCTGCAGGCAAGTTTCTCCTTTATTAGTAAACTTAAGGCAGAATAGCAGTTTCATGTGATCCAATTCAAGGTATAATTTAGACCTCACTATATTTATAATCCAATGCTGATATTGGCTACAAGCCAACAAGGGAGTCTTCTTTTTATGCGCACCTCATTACTCCATAACTGATAATGCTGGTAAGGAAATTTTTGTCATGCTCGGCTACAAATTAGAGAACTTTTTTACAAATTTTATAGGATTGGTCCACTTGTGTTTGTTCAGTCCATGAACTGGTATCTGATTAGAGAATAGTGAGATCACTTTTTACTGATTCTGCTTTTGACAGTACGAAAAGCATGAAATTTAAACCTTACGAGCTTGTAATAGAAACGATTTTGATTTATTTTTTCATTCCTCTTGAATTTGCAGCTGATATCGAATGACAAATTTAAAAGTGTGGAACACAGAGTAATGGCAAATCGTGTAGGTCCAAGAGTATCAGTTGCATGTTTTTTCAGCACAAGTTTCCAGCCATCCTCAAAGCTATATGGGCCGATTAAGGAGCTATTATCAGAAGATAATCCTCCTATTTATCGAGAAACCACAGTGAATGAGTATCTTTCCTACTTCTATGATCATGGCATTGATGGAACTAATCCATTGATGCACTTCAAGCTGTAAAGATAATTCTACATGAGTTGTTTGATATTGTCCAGGGTTAAAAGATTCAAGAATGGCTCTTTGATCTTGATTGCTGAGTGATGAAAAAAAATTAGATTTTAGTGTGCTAATCTACTAGTTTGAGATTCAAGATTAATCGAATTTAGATGTATACACTTTGAACTTGCCAATTTGGTAAAACGTACGGCTTCCTATGACATTCGGTGCAATGAAACACGTACTCTTTTTTTTTCAGCGGTAAGGATGTTTTTCAGGCTAGTTTTACATATTTTGAGACTAATTTTTCTCATAATATGATTAAAAAATACTTCTCAATACACAAATTTGGATATTTTGAGAATAAATTGTCAATATTACTGATCACAAAAAATGAATTTTGGATCCTATTTACAATGTTTGCTAATTGTGAATAGTGATGGATCATATTCCGTTGCTATTTTCGTTGGTTATTAAATTTTTATGACGGAATAATCGATCCGTTGCTAAATTTAGTGACGGACAATTTGTTGCTAAACCCAATAAATCCATCGCTAACTTTGTCGTAGGATGGCTTTTTTTTTTTTTTTGTAGCTAATTCGTCGCTAATTTTGAAAATAAATCCGTCGCTATTCCGTCACTAATTTTGAAAATAAATCTGTTGCTATTTTGAAAAACAAAATTGTCACCAATCTCGTTGCTATTTTCGAAAACAATTTTTTTGCAATTCCTTTGTTTTTGTTGACATTTTTGAAAATTAAATTATTAATATGAAATTTAATAATTAAAATTAATAATAAACAATCATAAGTAATTATGTATATATGAAAAATAAAATAATATTAACAAAATCATTCTAGAATACGTTTCATAAAAAAAAAATGATCGAATATTATATTACTCATCTTGCTCGTCTAATCCTATGTACTCATCCTTATGCTCGTGTTAAGTGCTCAACTTGGAGGATCAACCGAAGCTCGAACTAGAGGCTAAGTGGAAGGACCGATAGATTGTTGAATGATCGACGGATCTATATACAACCTGGATGTTTGTGCTCGTCGCATCGGTAAGGATGCCATCAAATCGTATTGAGACTTCATGCTACAAATAGTCTCCTTTTGCTGCGAAATCTAGCTTTTAACCTCGATCACCTTTTCCTTTGTAGTCTCGTAGTCCATCCAAAGTCGTTCGCTAGCTGAATCGATCATGTATTGCGACGTTATAGAGGAGGAGCTGCTGCCACTCGATTGAGACACATAATGCAATCGACTGTGTGCCTATCCCATAAAATATTTTCTTCTTCTCCTCGACAACTACGGGTATATGGCATTTTGATCTACTTCGGCTCAAAGATTCTTGCCTCCCTTTGAGCCTCAACTTCCTCATTGATGAGTTGTTCCACACGGTCTCGCGTTATTAAAATAATAATATCATCGTTATAGTATTAGAATAAATTTGAGAATAAATTTTCATATTTAATATTTGAAATTGAAAAATACTAACCTTTGTCTGCTGAGAGCGTATATCGACAAATGAACCATCACGTTTCTTGTGAGTCCTCTTGAACAAATCAAAATTCATTGGTTGACGTCCTAATTCAACCGCCTAAAAAAAACTATTACGAGAGAATATGACAAGTCCCAAATTAAAATGTTACGAAATAAGTAAATAATAATAAAGAGCGTAATTTACCAAGCGACGTGCATGCTCTCGTGAAGATATTGAGCTCTCGTATGTTTCGAAGGACCCAAACCAAGACAATCGATCTCGAACAATCGGTTCCGCGATGCTTGCTCCGAATGAGCCACGTAATCGGGTTTCTTGAAATCAACTTACCATGCATCCCATGCCTCCCGACTCATATATTGAGGTCGATCATCTATCAAGCCGATCTTGTATGCGAAGTTAGCATAGCGTTTCCTAGAGACATGCTCTCATGCCCCTCTAAAAAGTGCATTGATGTCCACATCCCATTCAAAAAATTTTTGCATAAGCAAAAACAATTTATATAACTTATTTGATAATAAATTTTTTTGTGTAATTATAAAGAAAATTGTAAATACATTACCTTAAATTCACTAAAGTAGAAGTCTTTAGTGACGTTGGGGACATCCTTTCATGATGATCATTTTTTATCCACCCGTTCTTTAAAAATCTCATAAATCTTCATAAAATAATCTTTATTATCTAAAGTCAATCTATTAACCAAATAACAAAACGATGAAAGAAATATTTTAAATGCGGTAATTATTGAAATTACATATTACAAAAAAACAAATACATACGATCCGTAATTGACGAAACAATGCATTGTTGATCTGGATGAGTCGTGAGAACTCTCAGAGTGTTAGACAAGTGTGCGGAGGGGCCACTCTCGAAGGTCGATGGTGGAAACTTAGATGTTGATATAGGAACACCTTTCGATGCAAATGTGCTAGCTCTATGATCGTGGGAGCCGTTAGATCCACAAAAAAGTCTTGTCATTGGAGACCCACGATCAATGCGGTAGGGGATCCTAACGGACTACCCTCTAACGAGTGATGCTCGTCCATGATTATCGAAACGAGATCCGATAGTAACTTCGAGTGGACAACGCAAACCATGATTACCACGAGTCATTCGTTGTATGATCTAATGTTAAACAAAAAAATAAAATACAACAAATATATTGTTAGAGTCCATTCATGGGTAACTAAATTAAAATACATCATTTTTTATGGATATAAAACAATCAAAATATACAATAAACATTTAGTGAAGGTAGAAAAACAAAAATTAATAAATTAATAAAGAGAAAAAATTACATAATTTCTTATTAATATAATAAATGAAATATAAATTTAATTCGAACTATCATAAAATTATTTAAGTTATCATCTTCATCATCCGAAACATTGTCACAATTATTTTCTTCGTCAACCACACCTACTTCTATATCTACAAATGATCCGTTTGGATCATTCAACAAAGTGACATCCTCAATTTTGTCTATCAATTCATGTCGAATTTTCTGATTGTCCTGCTGAAATGGTTTAACATTTTGTTATACGGCAGTGATGATTCGGGAAAGTCAAGCACGGACCTAGCTTTGATCTTACACACCGCCCATCAATCTCGATTATCGCATCTTAAGCTAGGGTACTCCATATAATACCCTTGAGTCGACTTGTGATGCTAGGACAAATGGTTCATAATTGTTTAAGGTTCTTTTACAATTAACATCCATAAGTTTGTAGTATGGATAAACCCTTGTTCCTTGTGGTGTGGGATCAAGCCAATTAAATTTGAACAATGCTTGTTCTCTTGATTGGTAATGCGGGATACTCTACTTCAAGAATTTTCATCGGCATCCCATGATAGTCATCTCGAGCTGAGCTATAATTGCCTCATTTAATGCATACATCACTACCAAAAGACCCAATTTTTGAAGATCCATTAAGTGTGCGAAACCTATAACCATTAACAAAATAAGCGTTGTATGATCTACCGATTAGCAATGAGCCACTGTGTGAGATTTTTCAAGAACCGATCTTTCATGTAAATTTCTTGTGCATTTTGTATCTATAAAATCACCTCTAAGTTTAGTTATCTTTCTATTAATGCTATCAATAAACTAAATATATAAAATGATCATACTTACATATTGATTAAACTAAGAGGCAAACTCATTTTCAATTAGAGCATCGGTTTCATTCTTGGACATGAACGAATTGTTCCGTTGCATTTCAACAAGAAATCCACTAAAGATAAGATAATTATTAAGAAATGTGAGTTAGTCTCTACTATCTTCCTAATATTAATTATTAAATGTAATAAATAGGTTAAACTCACTCAATATAAGGTTTGACTTCTTCATAATTCAATAATATATATTGGTGGGCTACTTTGTGTTCTAGTTGTGTCAATTTTCTTATTTTGTATTGACCAATTGATCGACTCGATTGCTCGAATACGGATAACATCCCTTCAATATGGTTTTCTTCTTTGTTGTTGAATTCAAAATTATGGGGCACTTTTCAATGCCGTGTATACACATGAGGCTCAAAATAATACGAGCAAAATAGAGAGGCCTCTTTGACCGAAAATGCATTGCATATTGATCCTTTCACTTTAGCTTTATTCTTAACATTATTTTTTAGCTTCAGCAGATACCTGCAAATATGAATAATTTTAACGTTCGAAAGTAAGAAATTTATTTAATTTTACTTTTAAATTGAATGTCAATACCTTTCAAATGGATACATCCATCGATATTGCACTCGGTCCCGAAATAGATGCCTCATATGGTAGATGAATTGAAAGATGTTCCATGGAGTCAAAAAAGCTAGGTGGAAATATAGGTTCTAGTTTGCACAAAATGATAGGTATCTCATCATTAAGTCGCAACATATCTTCTTGCTTTATAACTGTAGAAGTCAATTGCTTGAAAAATAAACTCAACTCTGTAAGTGATTGCCAAACATTTCTCGGTAAAAACTCTCGAAATGCAATTGGAAGTAAGCGTTGCATGAAGATGTGAGAGTCATGAATTTTCATCTCATAAAGTTTGTCATGCTGCATATCAACACATCTAGCTAGATTGGACACATATCCATTAAGGAATCCGAGTTGTTTTATCCATTCAATCAATCTTATTTTTTGTTGTTTCGACGGAGTAAATGTATCTTTAGGATACTTTTTAGATGCATCGTCCTTTACTAATTTTGGTCTTTTACGGAAGAGTTTCAAGTTTTCTCTAGAGTTGGCATTATCTTTAGTTTTTCCCAGCACATTCATGATTGTGTTAAAAACATTATCAAAAACATTTTTTTCTATATGCATGAATTTTAAATTATGCCAAATGAGATTTGGACTCTAGTAAGGCAAATCCTAAAAAATACTTTGCTTCCTCTATCTAAACATCCGAGAGATTCTAGTATTATGATCATCCGCACCATCTTCTATCACCTTTAACAACCCCCACTACTCGACCGGATGTAACATCTCCGTTCTAAATCGGATTGGAGGAGGACCGGATTTAATAA